AGACCTAAACACGAAGCATCCTTATTGGAGGTGGAGCCGAGGTCGATACCAGGGGAAGGTCAGAGACCATCTACTTTAAATCCGATCTACTTGCGTTAATCTGATGAACTTGCGTGAATTCCAGTCCTCAAGGCAGGTCTGAGAATGAGCTGTACACGATTTACCTTGAGGGGCTATCAGTAAATTCGAAGACGTTTGGCACGCTATCCGTCAGGTCCCTTGCTAACTCAAATGGTACTAGGTTTAGTTGTGATCAGCGTTGCACTGAGATGTTGGCGGATCTGGTGCAAGGAACGGAAGAGATTTGGGTGACAATCTCTTCAACGATTGAGGGAAATGAAAAAAATATTGGAATGCGGGGACTACTGGGTCCCATATTTGGACTTAACCTAGACATCGTAAAGATAATGGGTTGTGCAAAGTTGGGTTCATATCGCAAAGTTTGGTTCATTCCATTCGCCTGATATTGGATTTACAAATATTGAACACTTTTACCCATTGGTCCACTCCTTCTGGTGCCTCCCCAGAAGGAGTGGACCAAAGGGTCTCATCTTCGGACTTAATCTAGACTTCGTAAGGATAATGGGCTGTTCAAAGTTTGGTTCACATCGTACCTTCCATTCGCCTGATACTGGATTTACGAATATTGAAAATTTTTACCATTTGTGGGGGAGGTACCAGAAGGAGTGGACCAATGGGTCCAATCTTCAAACTTGATCTATTCTTGGTAAAGGTAATAGGTTATGCAATGTTTGGTTCATATCGGACATTCATTCGCCTGATATTGGATTTACAAATATTGAAAATTTTGACCATTTGTGGGGGAGATACAAGAAGGAGTGGATGAATGGGTCCCATCTTCGGACTTAATCTAGATTTCGTAAGGCTAATGGGTTGTGCCATTCGCCTGATATTGGACTTACAAATATTGAAAATTTTGACCATTTGTGGGGGAGGTACTAGAAGGAGTTGACCAATGGATACCAACTTCCTACTTGATATAGGCTTGGTAAAGATAATAGGTTGTGCAAATTTTGGTTCAAAATGAATGAAATCGGTTGCTGCCTTCGAGAGTTATCGTGCGCACCAGACAGCCAGACAGACGGACAACGCACGGACGGACGGATATGGCTAAATCGACGCCAAATTTTCTGAAACGGATTTGGTCCAAAGAAACATGTGGTCTAAAACTAATATTTCGATGACGACATCAAAGTGTATATACCCTCATTAGCCTAAAGACTGAGGGTATACAAATCCACCGCTGTTGTAAGGCCTTTTATCAAATAAATTTTAAAAATCCACGCCTGTTCTAAGGCCTTTAGAAATAATTTAAAAAAATCCACGCCTATTCCTAATCCTTCAAAAATAACTTTAAACCAGTGAGCGAAGCAGTATAGTCGGACAGGGCCGACCATACGATACCCTACACAACTACCACGGAACTCTAACTTTCTGCGGATGTTTATTCCGAGCATGGGCAATATTTCGTGATTTTTGCACCCTCTTTCCCGATTAGAGGTCAACAGCACATCTCCCTTACACTGACATATTTCCGAATATTACTAATAGTCAGTACAGCTCTTCTAATTACTTGTCCAGATTCCCTTCACCGTGGGTTGTGTTGTAATATTCGGCTTTCAATTGTGGCCTATATATCGACTCGAAAAAATACAAAAAATTTAAGTTTTCGGTCCACTTCATCTCAAAATTATTATCTGATCATCACCGAAAATTATAGGCGTTGTCCTTGGCTATAAGTGGATCTTCATGGAACACTTCAAAGCGATCAGCGCTATATTTCCGCCCTCCAGTGTAGTAATGGGTTACTAAAAAATATCTGAATACGTAAGCACCTGTAAATATTTAAGTGTAACTCCCACATCCGAGTACATACGACAATATAATTGCGATCTATTTAAAGGTCAACCACTCCTCTTGGATATGCTATCAACTTCTCGGGTCTCGGCCCTTCAGGTGTAAATCTATATGCTATAGAATATAAATTTTGTAATTTTTCAGATTAATTATTGACCGATCTTTTTCAATACCGACATGCTTATTCTTTGGCCCGATGCCCATCTCCATGGAAAAATTCGCGATGTTTGGGCCATAATTGCGGTCTCTAGAGCGATCTGAAAATCGGGCAAAAAAAAAGTTTTTGGTCCATTTCATCCCCTAAATATTAACCGATCTTTACCAAAAACAATAGGGGTCTTCACTGGCTCGAACCCATCCTACATGCAAAATTTCGTGAGCCTGTATCGTGTTTACAAATTATAATGGGCAGACGGACGGACACACATGTCTAGATCGACTCAGCTAGTCGTAATATGACTATCGGTATACTTAAAGGTGGGTCTAGGACCAATATTTCGCGGCGTTACAAACTCTTGGGGCTGCAGAAAGCTATAATACCCTGACAACATAGTTGTGTAGGGTATAAAAATTCACGCCTGTTCTAAGGCCTTTTAAAAATAGTTTTAAAAAATCCACACCTGTTATAGGGCCTATAAAAAATATTTTAAAAACTTGAAAAATAATTTTACTCTGCTTCAGGTGTTCTGTAAACCGAAGATCCTCTTCTGATCATTGGCAGACTCCCTCCTTTTTATACTCTTCTCCACACTGTGGTACAGGGTATTATGTCTTTGTGCATATGTTTGTAATAGGCAAAAGGAAACAACTTTTTAAGTCGATTTATGCATGTCCGTCCGCCCGTCTGTCTGTCCATGTTAAATTGAAAACAAAGTACCGGTCGCATTTTTGATTCGAATTGGATGAAATTTGGCACAGCTCATTTATTTGGCCCAAGGACGAACCTTATTGAAATTGGGAAAAATCGGTTGAGATTTAGATATAGCTCCCATATATATTTTCGTTCGATTTTATGTAAATTGTGCACCAAACCCCTATATATGCTTCGATTTGCACGAAATTTGGCATAGCGTTCTGAATTAAGTCTAAAACGAAGTGTGTTAAATTTCGTGAAAATCGGTTCAGATTTAGATATATGTAAATGGTGCACCAAAGTACCTATATATCCTTCGATTTGCACGAAATTTGGGATAGCGTACTGAATTAAGTGTAGAACGATGTGTGTTAAATTTCGTGAAAATCGGTTCAGATTTAGATATAGTTCCCATATATATTTTGGTCCGATTTTATGTAAATGATGCACTAAAGTCCCTATATATCCTTCGATTTGCACGAAATTTGGATTTATAAGTAAATGAAGAACTCAAAATGTGGCAGAACATACTGAAATAAGTGTAACCTAACATGTGACAAGTTTTGATGAAATCGGTTTAGATTTCGATATTTTGCTTTAAATTTATTTACATAATTTTGTCCCATTGTAAGAAGCAACTCTATATCTGACCAAAATTTAGTATAGGTTGGAGAATCTCATGTTTAACTTCATGTTAATGGTCCTTAAAAAATGTGACGTCTGTTAGGAATTCATCTGTTGAATATACCCAAAGTGGTGAAGGGTATCATATAGTCGGCCCCGTCCGACTTTACTGCTTTCCTTACTGGTTCATTCTTCCCTTATTGATCCTGAAATAAAAACCAGTATTGCCAATTAACTAAAATTCAGCTTTATTCGGCTTTATTCACACCGAATACACTTATAAACTAATAATTAGACCTCGGATTTTGCATATTTGCATATTTTTTAATAATGAAGATATCGAAATTCTGATTGGACACAAATTCGTTTCAAAGGATTTAGAATTATTTGAAGGGTTCATATTTTTTAATTTTTTGCATATTTGCATATTTTGCATATGCAGGAGATATGCAAAAAATATGCAAAATATGCAAAAAATATGCAAATATGCAAAAAATATGCAAAATATGCAAAAATATGCAAAATATGCAAACATATGCAAAATATGCAAACATATGCAAAATATGCAAAAATATGCAAAATATGCAAAAATATGCAAAATATGCAAAAATATGCAAAATATGCAAAAATATGTAAAATATATGCAAACATATGCAAAAATATATGCAAACATATGCAAAAATATATGCAAAAATATGCAAAATATATGCAAACATATGCAAAATATGCAAAAATATGCAAAATATGCAAAAATATGCAAAATATGCAAACATATGCAAAATATGCAAAATATACAAAAAAAATATGCACGGTATACTAGGTCGATATGCGAGAAATATGCAAAAAATATGAAAAATATATGCAAAAATATGTGCAAATATGAGCAACATATTTCACATATGCAATCATTTTAATAAAAAAAAAAAAAAAAAAAATCATGGTAGTTTTCGAATTTGTGTGCTTTCTTTATTTTTAACCTATAGAAATCTAATTGTGTATGTATGCGTTTCATGGTTCAACTGTTAGATTTTTGGGGCATTATGAAAAATTTGCTAAATATATGTATAAAACATGCAAACATATATAACCGTTATATGGCGATATACTAAAACGTGGACCGATATATCCCATTTCCAATACCAAACATCCTAGGAGTAATAATAATATATGTGCAAAATTTCAAAGTTCTATGTTTAATATTGCGACCTAGCATACTGTGCATATTTTTTGCATATTTTTGCATATTTTGCATATTTTGCATATTTTTGCATATTTCGCATATTTTGCATATATTTTGCATATTTTGCATATATTTTGCATATTTTTGCATATCGACAATGCATATTTTGTATATTTTTTGCATATATTTATCGCACATCGACCTAGCATACCGTGCATATTTTTTGCATATTTTGCATATTTTTGCATACTTTGCATATTTTTTGCATATTTTGCATATTTTTTGCATATATTTTGCATATTTTTGACATGACCCCAAATATCGATGAATTAAAGCATGAAACGCCTAAATACAAAATTTGAGTCCAATCGGATAAAGCATAAAAAATATGCAAAAATCCGAGGTCTACTAATAATTCAATATCTAGAAATCGTATCCCTTTTCCGTAAATACTCATCCCCCGTTTTAATAATAACTATTTTCCGAAGAGTACAATGGATTGAAATTATTTGGTAAAATGTAGATATCCTCAGGGCGGCCATTAAACAAATATGGACGCTTCAATGACGTTAATTTCGAATCCGGTTGATGCTGAACGGCGGGCCCGGGAGACTGAGCCTGCGATGCTGGTGGTGAATATGAAGCATAATTATGTGATGATCCAGAGCTGGGTGGTATATTAAAATAATTATGAGTCGAAGTTGTGGGCCTATATCCATTGGCAAATGAATGTGCGGGTGGTGGTGGAGGAGGTGGTGCTGGTGCGGCAGATACACGGCTAGGATAATTTGGTGGTACATTGGGATACTGCAAATCATTGGGTGACCCACCAATTTGATAGACATTACCCGGTTTTCCGTTTGCCAAAAAGTTGATAGGGACATTGAATACCGGCGAGAAGGGTGGGAATGAGGGTAGCGATTGATAGGGTAACATAGCCGAATATCCGGGTGAGGTGGCAGCACCTAAACCCAAACTTGGCAAAAACATGTAGGGTGTGGGAGGTAAACGTACATAGTATATGGGTGAATTACGTGGGTAGTTAGAAGAGGATGGGTGAGAGGTGGATGAAGAAGCTGAAGGTCTTCTGCCGGAGCCGGCACCACGAGACATGGAATCTTCATATTCAGAGGGCAAGGGTGTAGAGGGAGCTGAATAGCCTGGATAAAACATCTCCGGTGCCATATAGAAGGGATAGGGTACCAATATCGGTTGGGCATAACTCATAAAGGGCATAAAACGTGGTGTCACCGGAAACGGAGAAGGGTGATAGCTTTCAAAGGGATTGAAGAGGTGAGGAAATAGGGCTGCCATTGGTGACATGGGTGGTAATGGCATGGGATTGTAGTATGATGGTCGCTCGAACATATTCCAAGGGTAATTGACATTTCCAGGGGAAGAGGAGGATGGCGGAGGTGGTGGTGTGGGTAGAGTCTGTGGCCCTTGTCCAATTGAGGGATTCACTTCCCGCTTCAAATCATTTATAATTTGATAAGAATCTCCTAAATCATCATCCACAACGGATGCCGCTGCAGCAGCAGCTGCGGCTGAGAAATGTTTTAGAACTTCTTGAACAGCAGCATCCTTGTCGTTAACCACAAATTGGGCCGTAGGCAAATGAGCTGTTCCCACCGAGGATGACGATGATGTTGATGGGCTAACTGCATTCGACAACAATGTTGCGGTGTTTACACTGTGTGGTATCGTTGATGAGGCTGGTGAGAGGCCCAAATTATGGCCACCATTTGAACTTCCAGAACTGCTGCCTGGGTGTGTCGCTGCTGATTGTCGATTCGATTTGGAGTGAATGGGAGCTGGTGCATGGTGGATATGTTGTTGTGATGTTGATGTCTGCTGCTGTTGTTGCGATTGTTGTTGTTGCTGCTGATGTTGTTGTTGTAGCGTTGGTTGTTGCATTTGTGCCATATTGGTGGTCTGTGCTGCTATCGCCACATTTCGTTGTAGTAGCCCCACAAACACTAACAACAAAAATAGCCGGGTGAATGCAAATCTCCACTTTGGCCACATTTTGTCTTATTGGCTTTTGATGATTGTGTTTTGGTTACGGCTATAAATGATGATTCTAGGTTGGAAAAGAGAGAAAAAAGGAAAATCGTATTATTAGGGGTATTACAAAATGCATAATAGAAGACATATTTTTTAAATGAGAGGCGTGGATTTTTGAAAATTATTTTTTAAAGGCCTTAGAAGAGGGATGGATTCTTTAAAAAAACGTATAGTAGAAGGCATGTTTTTTTAAATGAGAGGCGTGAATTTTTTAAAATTATTTTTTGGGGCCTAAGAACAGGCGTGGATTTCTTGAAATTATTTTTTAGAGGCCTAAGAACAGGCGTGGATTTCTTGAAATTATTTTTTAGAGGCCTAAGAACAGGCGTGGATTTTTTAAAATTATTTTTTGGGGCCTAAGAACAGGCGTGGATTTTTTAAAATTATTTTTTAGAGGCCTAAGAATAGGCGTTTATTTTTTAAAATTATTTTTTAGAGGCCTAAGAACAGGCGTGGATTTTTTGAAATTATTTTTCAGAGGCCTAAGAACAGGCGTGGATTTTTTTTAAATTATTTTTAGAGGCCTAAGAACAGGCGTGGATTTTTTAAAATTATTTTTTAGAGGCCTAAGAACCGGCGTGGATTTTTCAAAATTATTTTTTAGAGGCCTAAGAACAGGCGTGGATTTTTCAAAATTATTTTTTAGAGGCCTAAGAACAGGCGTGGATTTTTTAAAATTATTTTTTTGGGGCCTAAGAACAGGCGTGGATTTTTTAAAATTATTTTTTTGGGGCCTAAGAACAGGCGTAGATTTTTAAAATTATTTTTAGAGGCCTAAGAACAGGCGTGGATTTTTTAAAATTATTTTTAGAGGCCTAAGGACAGGCGTGGATTTTTTAAAATTATTTTTTAGAGGCCTAAGAACAGGCGTGGATTTTTTAAAATTATTTTTTAGAGGCCTAAGAACAGGCGTGGATTTTTTAAAATTATTTTTTAGAGGCCTAAGAACAGGCGTGGATTTTTTAAAATTATTTTTTAGAGTCCTAAGAACAGGCGTGGATTTTTTAAAATTATTTTTTTAGAGGCCTAAGAATAGGCGTGGATTTTTTAAAAATATTTTTTAGAGGCCTAAGAACAGGCGTGGATTTTTTAAAATTATTTTTAGAGGCCTAAGGACAGGCGTGGATTTTTTAAAATTAGTTTTTAGAGGCCTAAGAACCGGCGTGGATTTTTCAAAATTATTTTTTAGAAGCCTAAGAACAGGCGTGGATTTTTCAAAATTATTTTTGAGAGGCCTAAGAACAGGCGTGGATTTTTCAAAATTATTTTTTAGAGGCCTAAGAACAGGCGTGGATTTTTTAAAATTATTTTTTTGGGGCCTAAGAACAGGCGTGGATTTTTTAAAATTATTTTTTTGGGGCCTAAGAGCAGGCGTGGATTTTTAAAATTATTTTTAGAGGCCTAAGAACAGGCGTGGATTTTTTAAAATTATTTTTAGAGGCCTAAGGACAGGCGTGGATTTTTTAAAATTATTTTTTAGAGGCCTAAGAACAGGCGTGGATTTTTTAAAATTATTTTTTAGAGGCCTAAGAACAGGCGTGGATTTTTTAAAATTATTTTTTAGAGGCCTAAGAACAGGCGTGGATTTTTTAAAATTATTTTTTAGAGTCCTAAGAACAGGCGTGGATTTTTTAAAATTATTTTTTTAGAGGCCTAAGAATAGGCGTGGATTTTTTAAAAATATTTTTTAGAGGCCTAAGAACAGGCGTGGATTTTTTAAAATTATTTTTAGAGGCCTAAGGACAGGCGTGGATTTTTTAAAATTAGTTTTTAGAGGCCTAAGAACCGGCGTGGATTTTTCAAAATTATTTTTTAGAAGCCTAAGAACAGGCGTGGATTTTTCAAAATTATTTTTGAGAGGCCTAAGAACAGGCGTGGATTTTTCAAAATTATTTTTTAGAGGCCTAAGAACAGGCGTGGATTTTTTAAAATTATTTTTTTGGGGCCTAAGAAGAGGCGTGGATTTTTTAAAATTATTTTTTTGGGGCCTAAGAGCAGGCGTGGATTTTTAAAATTATTTTTAGAGGCCTAAGAACAGGCGTGGATTTTTTAAAATTATTTTTAGAGGCCTAAGGACAGGCGTGGATTTTTTAAAATTATTTTTTAGAGGCCTAAGAACAGGCGTGGATTTTTTAAAATTATTTTTTAGAGGCCTAAGAACAGGCGTGGATTTTTTAAAATTATTATTTAGAGGCCTAAGAACAGGCGTGGATTTTTTAAAATTATTTTTTAGAGTCCTAAGAACAGGCGTGGATTTTTTAAAATTATTTTTTTAGAGGCCTAAGAATAGGCGTGGATTTTTTAAAAATATTTTTTAGAGGCCTAAGAACAGGCGTGGATTTTTTAAAAATATTTTTTAGGGGCCTAAGAACAGGCGTGGATTTTTTAAAAATATTTTTTAGAGGCCAAAGAACAGGCGTGGATTTTTTAAAATTATTTTTTAGAGGCCTAAGAACAGGCGTGGATTTTTTAAAATTATTTTTTAGAGGCCTAAGAACAGGCGTGGATTTTTTAAAAATATTTTTTAGAGGCCTAAGAACAGGCGTGGATTTTTTTAAAAATATTTTTTAGAGGCCTAAGAACAGGCGTGGATTTTTTAAAAATATTTTTTAGAGGCCTAAGAACAGGCGTGGATTTTTTAAAAATATTTTTTAGAGGCCTAAGAACAGGCGTGGATTTTTTAAAAATATTTTTTAGAGGCCTAAGAACAGGCGTGGATTTTTTAAAAATATTTTAGAGGCGTGGATTTTTTAAAAATATTTTTTAGAGGCCTAAGAACAGGCGTGGATTTTTTAAAAATATTTTTTAGAGGCCTAAGAACAGGCGTGGATTTTTTAAAAATATTTTTTAGAGGCCTAAGAACAGGCGTGGATTTTTTACAAATATTTTTTAGAGGCCTAAGAACAGGCGTGGATTTTTTAAAAATATTTTTTAGAGGCCTAAGAACAGGCGTGGATTTTTTAAAATTATTTTTTAGAGGCCTAAGAACAGGCGTGGATTTTTTAAAATTATTTTTTAGAGTCCTAAGAACAGGCGTGGATTTTTTAAAATTATTTTTTTAGAGGCCTAAGAATAGGCGTGGATTTTTTAAAAATATTTTTTAGAGGCCTAAGAACAGGCGTGGATTTTTTAAAATTATTTTTTAGAGGCCTAAGAACAGGCGTGGATTTTTTAAAATTATTTTTTAGAGGCCTAAGAACAGGCGTGGATTTTTTAAAATTATTTTTTTAGAGGCCTATGAATAGGCGTGGATTTTTTAAAAATATTTTTTAGAGGCCTAAGAACAGGCGTGGATTTTTTAAAATTATTTTTTAGAGGCCTAAGAACAGGCGTGGATTTTTTAAAAATATTTTTTAGAGGCCTAAGAATAGGCGTGGATTTTTTAAAAATATTTTTTAGAGGCCTAAGAACAGGCGTGGATTTTTTAAAAATATTTTTTAGAGGCCTAAGAACAGGCGTGGATTTTTTAAAAATATTTTTTAGAGGCCTAAGAACAGGCGTGGATTTTTTAAAAATATTTTTTAGAGGCCTAAGAACAGGCGTGGATTTTTTAAAATTATTTTTTAGAGGCCTAAGAACAGGCGTGGATTTTTTAAAATTATTTTTTAGGGGCCTAAGAACAGGCGTGGATTTTTTAAAATTATTTTTTAGGGGCCTAAGAACAGGCGTGTATTTTTTAAAATTATTTTTTAGGGGCCTAAGAACAGGCGTGGATTTTTTAAAATTATTTTTTAGGGGCCTAAGAACAGGCGTGGATTTTTTAAAATTATTTTTTAGAGGCCTACGAACAGGCGTGGATTTTTTAAAAATATTTTTTAGAGGCCTAAGAATAGGCGTGGATTTTTTAAAAATATTTTTTAGAGGCCTAAGAACAGGCGTGGATTTTTTAAAAATATTTTTTAGAGGCCTAAGAACAGGCGTGGATTTTTTAAAAATATTTTTTAGAGGCCTAAGAACAGGCGTGGATTTTTTAAAAATATTTTTTAGAGGCCTAAGAACAGGCGTGGATTTTTTAAAAATATTTTTTAGAGGCCTAAGAACAGGCGTGGATTTTTTAAAATTATTTTTTAGGGGCCTAAGAACAGGCGTGGATTTTTTAAAATTATTTTTTAGGGGCCTAAGAACAGGCGTGGATTTTTTAAAATTATTTTTTAGGGGCCTAAGAACAGGCGTGGATTTTTTAAAATTATTTTTTAGGGGCCTAAGAACAGGCGTGGATTTTTTAAAATTATTTTTTAGGGGCCTAAGAACAGGCGTGGATTTTTTAAAATTATTTTTTAGGGGCCTAAGAACAGGCGTGGATTTTTTAAAAATATTTTGTAGGGGCCTAAGAACAGTTTTTAGAAATTAAATAAATTTTTTAAAATTATTTTTTAGGGGCCTAAGAACAGGCGTGGATTTTTTTAAATTATTTTTTATGGGCCTAAGAACAGGCGTGGATTTTTTAAAATTATTTTTTATGGGCCTAACAGGCGTGGATTTTTTTAAATTATTTTTTATGGGCCTAAGAACAGGCGTGGATTTTTTAAAATTATTTTTTATGGGCCTAACAGGCGTGGATTTTTTAAAATTATTTTTTATGGGCCTAACAGGCGTGGATTTTTTAAAATTATTTTTTATGGGCCTAACAGGCGTGGATTTTTTAAAAATATTTTGTAGGGGCCTAAGAACAGTTTTTAGAAATTAAATAACAGGCGTGGATTTTTTAAAATTATTTTTTAGGGGCCTAAGAACAGTTTTTAGAAATTAAATAACAGGCGTGGATTTTTTGAAATTATTTTTTAAATGCCTTAGAAGAGTCGTGGATTTTAGAATACTTTTTTAGAGGTCCAATAACAGGCGAGGATTTTTAAAATAATTTTTTAGAGGTCCACTATCAGGCGTGGATTTTTAAAACAATTTTTTTAGAGGTCCACTAACAGGCGTGGATTTTTAAAACAATTTTTTTAGAGGTCCAATAACAGTGAATACCCCTATTGCCATTTTGCATTTCCACATGTAAAATATTTGCTTCTTCTTCATCATCTGCATTTCGATCATTTCAATTTTATTTGTGTGTCTGTCTGTCAGCATTTCATCCATTATGATCAATGGTCATGTTCATATCCCCATTGATCTTTTCTATGGCTTTGCCGTATGCTCCACTTATCTAATCGTGCTGGGCTAATGATCGATATTCAATTTAATCCATTTCAATGTAGTATCAATACGTTCCGCAAATGGATGGAGGCCATGTTATGATGTGATTGTTGCACTGGACTATTTTTTTAGCAGCAACAGTTTTTATTCTTTTATTTTTTGTTTTGAAATGTCTTTTTGGATTTGTAGTACATTTAACTGTAATATGCTTACGCTATTTTTGTGTTTAGCCTCACTGACCTAGATGCGGAACACTATCAGGTACGTTCAATGACATTTTTGTGATCAGGACAAGATCCCAAGAAATTTTAATGTTTGTCTAACGGAAAGAAACTTGTCAACAGGAATTATGATGAATCGATTGGGATAACGATTTCTCTCGTCACAGGAAGCAGTACCAGTCAGGGAAGCAACTAATAGGGTCACTTATTTTTAGAAATATTTCTTAGACATTTTATGTTATTGGAAAATTCTCCTGTCATTATTTGCACTTCACAATTCTCATGTATTTCACCCAAAACAGTATCTTCTCAAGACAATATTTGCAAACAAATATTTACAGCGAACGAAAAGAAATTAAGACAACATTGCGACCAATTGTATGCCACCACAATTTGGCTAGAAATCAAAAAAGTGGATCAATCAAACATCGCCAAGCATTTTACTTTGAAGACACCAATTTTTCATACTTCGGTGCTGGTGCGCAGCTACCACGCCATTTGGTGTGATAATTGCAATTGTCAACTGAGTCAAGCGTAAACATTGTGTTCGACTAGCCGAACATTTAATATGTCATTATTTAAGCTTGGCGAAAAAGTTTGGATCTATGCCATCGTTGCGGTGGAATTGGCATAAAAGTGAAATTTTAAATGAACATTTTTGGCATACATACAAATTTATTTGTTGCTGTGCTGCATCGTTTATGTTCGGCATGTAAGTGTTGTTATAATTTATTGCATTATTTATGTTGAAAAAGGAATTGCATGACTTATAAAAAATAATAACATTCTTTAAAACAACTCATTCTGGAGATTTTTTTTCTGCATGATAAAGGGGTGCATATTACTTTTTGTTTCAAATAGTTGCAAAACATTCGCTTGAAATGAAATCATCAATAATACGGTGCAAACGAATTGAAAAGTGAGACATTTATATTAGTTATGAAAGCCTTCAGCGATTATTTTATGAAACCAAAGGGAAACATTCGCTATAGGTCAAGTTATGAGGATGAGATTTTTTCCTGGTGACCCTAGTATTAATACAGAAATGTGCTGCTTTTCCATGTTATTTTTGAGATAACATATCTTCAGTCAAATCAAATAAAGCATTTTTTGTAGAAAAGTTCGTCTTTATATCTCAAGTCCACAAGAAAATATTTTTGGCCTTGAAATACTCTACTAAAATTACGCTAAACCAATATTAGATAGGGTTACCAAAGACATTACGCGATCGTTGCTCCGAAAACCTAATATCTACACCAAAAAGTCCTTATATTGTAGACTTTCTAAAAATTCTCACACAAAATAATTTAACGATTTTCTCTATAACGCAGAATATTAAAAATGCCTAAGATCTGTCGTGACCTCAAAATCAAGTTATGTCATTGTTGATTGTTAGTAAATTGTTTATCCATTGGAAAATTAAAATCCGACACACGGATGGGAAAGCGGGACAAACAAACCTAGACCTATATTGATTATTTTTTAGGGTAGGACTTTATATAGGGGAATAAGATAAAACATGGACCTATATCGAAATTTTTTATAAAAATTTATGTCTTTCAAGAACCCGAAATTCAAATTACAACCACTTCGGTTAAAAAAGTAACTAAAACCTCTAAAAACCGAAAATGAGGAGCAACCGCTATATGGAGACTATGTCAAAACATGGATATATATCACATATGTTTTTCATCTTTCAACAATGCACAATGCTACATAAGGGGCCCATCGGTGGGCCTTAACAATACAAAACCTGTGAAGATACCATTACTGTTATGTAGGAATATGTTAAGTAGGAATATTCGACACCCAATGAGACTTACAAAATTAGACAAAGTAATTTTTTCACTAATAATAGTTTCGTCCCTGAACCTGCATGAATCTACTAAATTTACATGTTTCGCAACTTTTTACTCCAAAATCGTTCCTCAACCCATAGAAAATAGTAAAACTTCTAACCAAATTTAAGAGAACACGAAATAAAATGACGTTCTCTTTGTAAACTTGAACTGTAGGTGATGCAAGTAGATGTTCGCCTTCACTAAACATTATACATGCTTGGATAAAATAGGCAAATTTTGGATTCAAACGGAGTTTGGAAGAAATATTACGATGTGCAAAGGTTGTATCAAATCGGTTAGTCCTTCCGAGAGTTATCTTGAACTCCAGCAGAACTCCAATGGCGATCTTTGGAAGAGCATTTCTTTAAATCCAAGCCTATGGTGACATTTGGAAAAATATGTTTAAACCAGTGAGCGGAGAAGTATAGTAGGACGCGGCGAAGCAGTATAGTCGGACGAGGTCGACCTACACAACTTACACGGAACATCAACTTTCTGCACATTTATATTCCGAGCATGGACAATATTTTGTGATATTTGCACCCTATTGACCGACCAACATCTCATCTTTCTTACTCTGGCATATTTTCCGAATTACAACGTAACGTAAATGTTTACCCCGGGATTTTTTTTACATAAGAAGGTCTTGGTTATTGGATCTTTGGTCTTGGTTATTGGATCTTTGGTCTTGGTTGATTTTTTGGCTGAATATTGACCGATAATTATCAAAACAGACCATCTTATTAGTTGGCCAGATTCCCTTCCCCATGGATTTGTGATGTTCGACTAACAATTTTGGATAGTATATCCAGGTATATACGCCATAGAATACAAATCTTTAATAAAATTGTTGGTACATTTCATACCTTAAATAGTAACGGATCATTACCAACAACAATAGGGATCTTCATTTGACAGAATCTGTCAATTGGACCAAATCCGTTTCAGACAATTTGTAGTCGATTTACAAACGCCCGTCCGTCTGTCTGTCTAGCCGGCTGGTGTGCACAATAATTCTCGAATGTAGTAACCAATTTTATCCAAACATTTTATATCGTAATTTTTTTTCAAACTATAATCAAGTTCGAAAATGGTGAATATCGGTCCACTCTTGTCATCGGTCCTCCCACACAAAATGATCAAAATTTTTGCTGAAATGTTATTTTATAATATAATATAATAATATCATAGGAGCGGGCTATCCGATTTAAATAAAACTTTAAACAACCTATTATCTTGACCACGTCTAGATCAAGTCCGATGAGACCCATCCACTCCTTCTGGTACTTACACAACAAATGGTCGAAATTTCCAATATTTTTAAATCCAAGATCAGGCGAAAGGAATGTCCGGTTTGAATTAAAGATGGAACCCGACGGTCCTTTCCTTCTGATACCTCCCTCACAGAGAGTCAACATTTTGGTCAATGAAGACCCCTATTCTTTTTGGCAAAGATCGGTTAATATTTAGGGGATGAAATGGGCCAAAAACTTTATTTTTGTCTGATTTTCTGGTCGCTCCAGAGGAAGCAATTATGGTCCAAACATCGCGAATTTTTACATAGAAAAGAGGATCGGGCCAAATAATAACCATGCCTGTTTGGATAAAGATCGGTCAATATCTAGTGGGTCCCTGGCTTTGTGAACAATTAAAAAAAATGTTTATTTCATAGCGTATATATTTTCCCCTGATGGATATATACCCAAAAAGTTGAGAGTATATCCAAGAGAAGTGGTTGACCTGTAAATTGATACCAATTATATTGTTATATGTACTCGGATGTGAGAGTTACACTTAAATATTTACAGGTGCTTACGTATTCAGATATTAGTTAGTAACCCATTACCACACTAGAAGGGGGAAATATAGCGCTGATCGCTTTGAAAATTTCCATAAGTTTCCATATATGGTCAAGGATAACGCCTATAATTTTCAGTGATGATCAGATAATAATATTGGGATGAAGTGGACAGAAAACTTAATTTTTTGTATTTTTTCGAGTCGATCTATAGGCCACAATTGAAAGCCGATCATCACAATACAACCCACGGTGAGGGGAATAAGGACAAGTACTTAGAAGGGCTGTACTGAATATTAGTAGTATTTGTTCATCTCTAGTCGGTCAAGAGCGTGAAAATTTAGCGAAATATTTTCCATGCTCAGAATATAGAACCACAGAAAGTTAGATTTTCGTGGAAGTTGTTTTTGGGGTATCATATGATCGGCCCCGTCTGACTATACTGCTCCGCTCACTGGTTTGAAAATAGTATTCCAGCCATTGAAAAATGTGCGTTTCTTTAAAGTAAATATTTTCGATTAATTAAAATTATTAATTATTAAAATTATTGCATCCATTTTCACCGTTTTCAATTGACACACATGTAAATAAGGTCCTTGCGTAGTTTATTACCCAACTATGCAAGGACCTATAAAGGTGAGAAGGTGGGTATTGTAGTACGCAACCACTTATTAAAAATACCATTTATTAAAAATGCGTAGGTTGTTCTTTGGAAAATTATTTAAACATTAGACGTCTCATTGTCTCATTTGAATCTTTGATCGGATAACACTTTCCATTCTTTTTGTCCTCTCACTATATTTAATAATACAGTCAATTTAATTGATTGAGATTTATTATTATATTTTTTATATACATATATACAACAATTTCAATTCTAAATTTATTTTTGGTGTATTTTTTGTCCTTCTGGGATGTTTGACGGAGTCGTATATTATTTTTCGTTCTCACAAAGTTTGCATTTTCGATATTTTTCACAATGATTTCCATTTATTTACAAAATCAATTAGAAGCGCTTTCTCCTTAAATCTTATTTCCAAACAGAACTTACACTTTCTGTATATAAAATTTCGAAATTCTTACAATTTCAGCACACTTCAATATTTATTTTTTTTATTCACAAAAACAAATTTTCTTCAGAACTTTTTCAACTGACACTGTCCAGATCCATCAACAGATGAATGGTAAATAACTTCAAATTGCAAATGTGCTAAAACTTTATATAGCCGCACGTATGGAGGAGCTCAATTGGAGTCTTAACATCATTGCTGGCTGGCTGGTGTAGCTCTTTACACGAATTACTCCTGCAGCAGAAATGTTTGTAGTGGAGTATTTCGCTTTTGTTTTTGTTGGCTAGAAGAGGTAAGTATGCGCAGAAGAAAGCGTAAATATGGTTAACACACACACACACGAGTGT